CGTTGACAGAGAGGAGAAGGTAGAAATGACTCAGTCTGTAACTGAAAATATAGATGGAGGACAACAGAGCTGCTTCATGGAAGAAGAACCTCAGTTTAGCCCGTAAGCCTTCGCGCTAGCGCCGATGCTATATTGCCTTATATGTATTAGCTTAGCGCGACAAACAAGCTAAACTTTTAGTTTAAGACTGATAAAAACTAAACATCCTACAGTATTTTTACAGTCTTTATTTTATAGTTAAAATATATGTTTATCAAATAAAGTCCAATGTTACAACTAATCATGGATCCCTTTAATAATATGTGCAGAGACATTCCCATGGAGGTGGATGAGTTTGTTTAAATATTTACTGTGAACAGTYAAACGCTCCACCTTAATGAGATTCACATTTTACCTTCATGTGTGCCATCTGGTCCTGCTCCCAGTTGAAGCGCTTCATCTGGTTCTCTTCCAGCTCAGATCTGGTCTTTACATACTGGTCGTAGTTGCCCTGAACAAAAATAGAGTTGCATCGTCATCCAGCAGCATGGAGACATGATTAGCAACACCCCGCTCTAATCCCTTATTTAGCATTAAGAATCCCACCTAATGGCTGTGTTTGAGATGTTCTCTATAGGCTTCAGTTGGTGCTCTCACCGTGTAATACTTTAGTTTTCTTTGATGCAGGTGGATGATGTTGGTACAGACACCGTTCAGGAAGTCTTGCGAGTGRGAGATGAGCACAAGGATTCGCTTGAACCTGACCAAAAAAAAAAAAAAGTAATCAATATGCAACAAGTGAAAAATGACCAACGGAACCATGAAAACATATCAATCAGGCTGCAAACTTACGACTTGAGCTCCTCTTCCAGCCACACGCAGGCATCCAGGTCCAAATGGTTGGTCGGCTCGTCCAGCAACAACATGAAGGGCTTGATGAACAGAGCTCTGAAGATGAGCGGCAGTATTACATTTAAAAGACTTATTCCCACTAACATTCTGATAGAAACACTTTGTAGTGACAGATATACGTAAATATTGACGACTCCTCTTACGGTTGATGCTTCTCTGAAAACTTTACTAGCTAAATTTAAAATGATTTAACTGAAAAACTAAAACATTAAAATAATATTTGTTACATGACAACTGTCACTGCTGGTAAGGAACTTGACTTTTTGGACAAATCATCACTTCTAAATATCAGCCAAACACGTTGACGTTACCTTGCCAGAGCGACACGCATCCTCCACCCTCCGCTGAAGTCTTTTAGTTTCTTCTGCTGCATAGCAGCGCTGAAACCCAGACCGTGGAGGATCCGAGAGGCTCGCACCTCTGCTTTGTCTGCGTCCAGCTCCTCCAGACGCTCGTACAGCTCCATCAGCTTGTCACACTCAGCTWTGTAAGAACAAGAGATCAGTTTTACTCGTACCAGAAGAATAACTTTGTGTCTTTAGTTTAAAACATATGCTTTAAAGTGCCTGTGATGCCAACTTTTTGTAATTCATATAAATGCATTTTTAGAAAGAGGACAATAGAGAAAACATTGCAAAAGGAATTTCATGTCACCGAGATGAGTTGTTGAGATTTATGACTGTGAAGTAACAGGAAGTGATGTCAAAGGGGAATGTCTGCATGTGAACAGAGCGTTGCTACAACAGTTAACAACACAGCCTGTAGAGAATAATCTGATGTTTAAGATTATTTTGAGTCTCTATCAGAGAGATGAAGAGTCAGAGTTCAAATAATATTGTTTCAATAAACAAAGACCAGAGAGTTTTCTTTGTTAAAGAGTTCCCCTTTGATGTCACTTCCTGTTTCACTTTGGCTGAGCCAAGTTCAAAAGAAAATATGTCAGTTATGGGACAAAATGGGTAAAATCATGTGTATTGTTCCAACTTTCTTAAATATAAAGATGTCTTCTTTGACTTTTTGTATTTAAAGAATATGTCACAGGCACTTGTCCAGTTATATTAGGAGTTTTGATGTTTACTCGTCTTCTGTTGTAGTGATGTGTACCTGATCCCACTCACCATTTTCATGGGCCAGTCTCTCCGCCTCTTTCTCCAGCTTTATCCTCTCTTCGTCCACTTCCATGACACACTGCAGGGCCGTCTTGTCGCTGGGGGCCATCTCCCGGGTCAAGTGGTAAATGTCTATGTGCTCAGGAACAGGAACTTCACGGTGCCCGATGGCTGACAGGAGCATTGACTTTCCTAGCAGAGGAGCACAGGGAAATTTAGCCYTTTTGTAAGAAGAGCAGACGAGAAGCACTTTTTCTGCCACGTTTACCTGTGCCGTTGAGACCGATGAGGCCGTAGCGTCTGCCAGAGTTCAGCTCCAGGCTGGTGTCTGATAGCAGCTCTTGACCGTGGAAGGTGAGCGACAGGCTGCTGATGTGGACATCAGTGCTGTTAGGATGCGAGGCGAGAACGCCAGTCACGGCCCGAGCCTCCATCTTCCGCAGCTCAAACTCATCCAGCTCCTTAGTCAAACTGGCAACACCTGTTTCCAAAAAGGGAAAATGTAAGAATTACGACTATTTTTTTTTTTCATGCATCCGGGCCAGCTTTCTACTCAAAGACAACCATCACAGAGCCACCACTCTTACCATTGCTGTGTGCTCCATTTTCTTGGACCTCCTGTTGCTCAGTATCCCCATTTACGTCATCAGACTTTTTGGTGCGCTGTCGGGCTTTGGCAGCCTCCTTCTTCTTCGCCGCCTTCTTCTTAGCCAAATCTGATGGCATGGTGGTGCAAGTCTAAACTAAAATGGTAAAAAGCAGAACTAAATCAGTAAGTTACTGTCAATTTATGACGACACGAAAACTAATCAATAACCGATTCACCGCATCTTGAGAATTTTTGTTTGTGTTAGCCAAGACGTATGAATCATAGTAAAAATGACTAATGGCCTACATAAAGTGACCAATATTGTAGATAGGCTTTACTGGTGTATCAAATGAGAACAGCCGATAGACTGCCATCAAAGCACTGATTACTCAGAATTTAACATTAACCAATTATTGTCTTCATGGATGCTGAAAACCAGGAGTCAAGTTGTCTCTTATGATTTGTGCCTTATCGTCAGGGAACATAAAGTGCCTCAAAATGCGTTTCCTGTGACGAGGTGACTTTTTCCTCGGTGTTGGTACTACCTGTTCCAACGATTAAACTCCCGACTATAGTCCATTTAATAAAGAACTAATTAAAGATCTAACGCGACATACAATACTGACTTAAACCAGCGAATACTGGTACAAAGACAACCGAATTATGGTTCATTCAACACCAACCGGCTTTTTCTAGAACATAAAGCCTGATTAGCCCAAACGTTAGCATTCAACGGTAACGCCGCTAAGTWTATCTTTCCTCACTAAAACTGAAACGAGACATAACTCAAGTAGATCTGTTAGAGAAAATACGATAAATGTCAAAAGTGAAAAATAAGCAGAATATAAATAAGCGGTTTCGTTCTTCGATGAGGCCTTGCTAAAGCTAACATGCGGCCCAAGCCTTTAGCTAACCCATGAATTATTCAGATGGCGGCAAACTACTTTTTATCGAGTCCACTTTTTAAAATGACAACTGGGATAAATTAGCCTTTTAAACTCTAGTTGTCTACCCACTATCAGAGTCGCTTTTACCTGAGTTTTTGTGGATTTTTTTCTGCCTCTTGTCTCCGGAGCACACTGACGTCGCGTGTCCACTTTTTGCCGGGTGGATGTAGCCGCGCTATCCGAAGCYCCAGACGGACCATATATGGTCAAGAGGGGCGTGGAAAATCAAAGTTCCCTCCTTCTCTTGTGGGACTGCAGTGAAATGTTCTTTTTTAGTAGTGAGTGTCATTTGGCTCAGCATGTTTAATAAGCATTTCCGGCAGCAAAACAGTGTTTAACAGTAACATAAAAACAGTAGCTGCATCTAAATGGCAAAACACAGTTTAGTGGGTTTTTAATTATAAAATGTATTTTACACTGAGATCACAAATGTAACGAGAACATGCATTTATTGTGAAAAATGTTGTGCATTTAAATCATATTTTTTGCTGATAAAATTGGAATTTAGATTCGTTTTACATCAGCATCATCAACAAACATGAAATTTTGAATTTTTCTGAGTGCTTTGTCAGAGTTGTAAAGTAACTAATTACAAATACTTTGTTACTGTACTCAATAGAATTTTTGGGTATCTACTTTACTTAAGCAATTATTTTTCAGCCAACTTTTTACTTATCCTTCTTACATTTTCACACAAATATCTGTATTTTCTTACATTTTTTTAAAACAGGCAAGAAGTAGAAAGTTGTTACTTTTATTTCATTTTTGCTTGTTTTCATTTCAGCTTGTTACTGTAAAAAATAAATACTATCCATATAAAGTGTGCCTCCTAGACAAACTGAATTTAACTGTGGTTGAATGAGAAGTAATTATAAAAAAAATCTGATACTGTATTAGTTTGTACACAAACAAATCAGGTCACACTCCAGCAGGACATAATCATTAAAATTATTATTATTAAAAAGTACTGTACTTAAGAAGTATTAGTATTTCATGAATTATATTATTGCATTTGACCACAGCCCTCATTTAAATTTTCATTTTGGGGAAAAGTTTTGTGCAGCCTTGATGTATATAAACTGAAACAGACTGGTGTATCCTAAATTTAACATAAATTAAACATTATTTAAATACGATATAGTCATTTCTGCATTTTTTTTGGAGGGAGGTCACCTCCTAATAAATGTCATTACAGAAAATCAACTGCTCATTTTAAATCAATACTTTAACCTTTAACACTTAAGTACAAAAATATGAGATATTTTAAGACTTTTACTAAAGTAAAGCAGACTTTAACTTTGACCAAAGTAATTTTTTGGTAAGATACTTGTATTTTTGCTGAAGTATTACTTTGTGGTAACTTTTACAACACTGTGCCTACTTAGGTCCATGTTGACTACATTGTTTAGATTCTGAGTGACCTAAATACACAAACTGATCATTCTATGTGAAATTTGTTCAAAAAAGCCATATACAACTATATTTTAGTTGCCTTGATGTCCTATTCAGGGGTGCCACCGAGCCATTGGTTCAGATATGTTGACGACACCTGGATTAAAA